GGTGGAAGAGTAGGGGGATAATTCAGGTTTTTTCATGTGTTTGAGATGGATGTCCGGGATGTTTAGAAAATAGAATCTGCTGTCGTCAGCGGTATAATTTTCCTGAGTTTGTAAAGATGTTTACTTTTTCCTCGATGAATTCCGTTTTTAGAATTGTAAGGATGGCTTTTTAAGATACCACAGAGAACGAGCGAGAGGGGGAGAGAGAGAAAGAGAGAGGGAAAGAGAAAAATAAGAGGGGCGGGTTAATATTATGGATAATTGGCAGGGAGAGATTGATATGGTTAATACCGCCTTTCTCTATGTCATAAAATTATAGAGAGTATTCTTCATACAATCTTGTTTTATTTCGCTTCTAAACAATTTTTAAAATGATTTTCGTCTTTACAGCCATTAGTCGAATTGCTTTTCCACAAATGTTCGCCCATCATTCCTTGCAACGTCTTTCAAACATTGTGTCTTTAGTTTGAGTCTGTAAATAAACGAGCTGTGTTTGTTTAGATGTTTGCCTTTGTCAAAGACACAAAGCTGACTGACGAGTCTTTGAACTGGGAATAGTGTAAATAATTAATGGAACGCATAGTGTAAATAGGGAAAGAAGCTCCTGGCTTTGTGAATGTGTGTTGCTTGTTTGTATGATTGTATGCCTCTGTGTATATGTTATAATCTTGATATTGTATATGTGTGCGTGTATAGATAGATAGATAGATAGATAGATAGATAGACAGACTGACAGACAGGCAGACAGACAGACAGACTGACAAGACTGACAAGACAGACTGACAGACAGACGAACAGACAGATGTGAATGACCTAATTGAGTTGAAAGTTCGTTAAACTCACACTAAAAATTAACTAGACATTGATATATTTTTAATAATTTTCTCTTTCTTTTCTCTTTCATTTGCAGGTGCTTTCCTAATCCCTTACTTTGTGGCGGTGGTCCTGGGAGGCGTCCCCATGTTCTTCCTGGAAGTGTCGCTCGGCCAGTTCATGAGCGAGGGTGGCATCGGACCCTGGAAGATTGCCCCCCTCTTTCAAGGTGAGAACAAGCGTGTTCTGTGTGTGTGTGTGGGGGGGGGGTGTTAGCTCACTTTCTCTCTTTTTCTGTCTGTCCCGAATAATGTCTGTCGTCGATGTTTTGGGGTTTTGGACTCGTTGCCACCCTTTTCTGTCTGTCTTAAATATTGTCTGACGTCATTGTGTGGTGTTTTGAACTCACTTTCCACTTTCACCCTTTTCTGTATGTGCTAAATAATGTCTGTTGTGGGGTTAGCCCAAAGACTTGAATAATAATATTATCCAAGACCAGATACTGTCACGGATGCCACTGTTTCAGGTTTAGAGTGAAGTTAGACAGTACAGGAAATGGGCGAAAGAATTCGTCTATTTATCCTTTTCATTTAATTTTTATGTCCAATAAAGGAAAGTTAGGCCATTTGCTGGAAGATGCCACTGACAGAACTTGATTCTTTTCTGTCCGATCTAGGACTATGAATAGATGCCTTTAGACGTAGTGGTTTCTGTCTTGATGAGGCATCTGTGGTGTAGCTGTTAGGCGTTTTATTGTCACACGCCGGAGACCCGAGTTCGGTTCCAGAGCTGGGAGAAAACTTGTATCGAGTGTTTTGGTCTATCTTCTGGGATGTTGTATAGCATCCTTCTCAGACCAGATCGATCCAGGCATTGAAAGGTAGGGTGAGAAATCAGCGTCCAAGGTGAACGAACTGAATTGTGTTGATGAGGGTTGTAAAAAATACAAAAATAATGCACGTTTCCTTAATTTTTTCCCCATTAAATTTATCCCTGGGAGGCATAAAAACACCTATGATTTACTCTATCCTTACTAAATTGTTTCGATTCGGGGGTGGGGGTGTAAAAACACCACCGCTTAACTTTGTTCCCACTAAATTATGTCGTTGGGGGGACGTAAAAAGACGCCTGCGCTTAACTCTGTCCCCAGGAATTGGCTACGCCACTGCGATGATCGTGTTCCTGCTGAACTGCGAGTACAACGTGATCCTGTCCTGGGCCTTCTATTACATCTTCTCCTCCTTCACCTCTGTACTGCCTTGGTCCCACTGTGATAACTCGTGGAACACGCCCAACTGCACCACGTTCGAAAAGAACATGTCAGAAATCGCCTCCACCACCACCACCACCGCCAGTCCTAGTGACGCAGCGACGACGCGGGAAACCACCGACCTGGCCAGCCCCAGCCTGCTGGGCAACTTGACCAGTGGTGACGTCATGATGTCCGTCATCAGTGCCGGCATGAACGCGACGAGCGGCGTCAACGCCTCTGGCCTCGAGACCTCGGTCGTCCTGCCGGATTCAGTGACAGAGTTTTGGGAGTAAGTCTCTTTTTTCCTTCAACTGCTCCCTTTATTGCGTCCCGCGGCGACGAGATTCAGGGGCTCTGTGTAGGTTTCAGAACAGCTACTTCAGACTAAAGAAAGAACAAAAAAGACGAAAATGATATCTATTTATATTTCTTTAATGACAAAACCCCCCAAAACGAATGCCTCGTTGTGCTGAATAGTTGTTTTAAAGAGAAAGGGACAGAAAGAGTGAATAAATATTATTGATATGGAAGAAAGCCAGGTGTATCTTTTTAAATAAAAGGGCCTTTTTTGTATGGCAGAAAATGCAACACGTTCTATTATTCATTTACTTCTATTATCTTTTTACAAGATGCCTGGGGTCGATCTAGGTAAAGGGAACTCCTGCTTTTCTGTTTGACCTAATATAAACTTACTCACAAATTCTAGCATACCTTCAGGCTGCGATCTTAAATGCTATGCTCCGTAAACACGACATAGTGTACAATGAGAAAGCACTTAAGCTTTGTAATGATAGGCTGTATTGTTTTGCAAAACAATAAGATGAAAAAAAACCCTTTACAGCAGCTGTCCTATTGTTCTTATATCACTCATCTCTCTCTTTCTCTTGCCCCCTCCCCGCTCCCCCCCCCTGTCTT